GTATTGTATAAAACTTTCCATTCTCTAGTCCGTTGTATGCATCAATTGCCACGCTCAATGAAGTCAAGTCTGGTACAACGAACAATGGAAATTGCAGCAGCTGTATGTTATAAGTTTAGCTCCAAACAAAATATATTCAATGTTCTGCATGGAACATGGTATGGCCTGGCATTTGTCGTTGGGGGCGCATCGTGATAGTGATCAAAAGCAAACATGACAGCAGCACATTGTAGCCAGACGACAAAATATGCGTTGCATAGCTTGGTTTTGTGAGTTCTTTAAACCCAATTACAAAAATTTGGATCAACGGACTTAGGCGGACATTTATGCAAGAGCCCAAAATGAATTGTGTACATTTAACGTAAATTCATTTAATTCGTTTAATGAAGGAAACAGTCAATCTCTAAACCATTGTTGTCCCCTTTGTGAATGAATATATTCCTCAATGGACCAATTCATATGCGGGCTTTTGTGGCAGTAGCATAACTTTTATTTAACGTAAGCTCAATTGCCAAAGTTCAGTCCCATGAAACAAGCAACCAGGATGTTTTGAAATTGGCAAAATTGATCGTAGAGATTGGTTCAGCATCATATATGTGCGGTGTGGTCTTGAATTCGATGTGAAATAAATTAACGTTGACCTAATACCCTAACGCCCATAATGAAACTTGTACTTTGTTTAAATGTAATTCGATTTGACTCGTAGAAACGACGTTGTTATTTTTCTTTTTAATTTTTCCACAGTGAAAAGTTGATCAAAGTTTTAAGCAATGAACTGAAAATGTAATCTAGCTTTTTGAGTATTAATTCGATGTGTGTTTTTGACGTTGAACCACTTTCGAATGCTTGATGTACAACACCCATCGTGTGAATGATGATACAGCACAGCATGGAACAAATGGTCATCAAATGGGTGCACTGACCATGAGGAGATTAATTAGTCAATATTTTTGTGTGCCATTTACCTGTGAAAAAACAGCATCCACAAATAAATCACCCACACAATTGATATAGCAGAACGCGAAGCAAACGATCCTGTTGTGCTACTGCGGATACCGGTAATCGATTTTTGGCTTTTTTTATGCGAGTTCATAAATTACCGGTCACAATGAAAATGTTTTGTAACGAACCGTACCGTATTGAAACACATATACTGTATTGATCGAATGGTATGCGCCGAATTACAATTATGTTAATCGATGCGCTTGAATCGAAATAACGATGATATAAATTGAACACTCTTGACACGGTCATATTTCGTCGATGACTTCAATTAACTCATTTATGTGCATTTCCATTTAAAATGTTTCAATGATTTTTTTTGTTTCGATAAAGCAAATACAATTTCGATCGACAAATAACAGGCAATTTCATATTATGGCAAACAATAATATGCTTCCATCAAAAATGCACAGATAATCATTTATGTCATTTATCACTAATCCGATATTTGGAATTTTACGAGCCGCGTGTAAATGTGAAAAGTTAGATACGATAACATTTCACATTTGTCTGTTATTTGTAGAAATATAATGGTCTTATCGTCTGAGTTGCCAGACCAGCTTTGTCATTTTATGCATTATCATCACATATTTACACAAAATCCATAACAATTTATCATTGCACACGTCTAAGCGACACACCACACAAATAAGAACCAAATCCTTAAACTTCGAATGACATGGAAACAGGCAAAACAAATTGTATGGCGTCAAAATTTCGCGAAACGTTCTTTTTTTGGGTCAAGGTTCACAAATTGCCGAATTGAATAAAAACAACACAAACACATATCACTGCACATATAATCGTGACGCACATATATTCTACATTATTTCGAATCAATGTCGATATGGTTTCATTGGACATTTGTTCGTGTTTCCACCTTTTTTCTCTCTAAAATGACTCAGTTGAAACCTGGTGAGAGGAGAAAACAGTTTTATTAAAAGGTTCAATACAATTTGATCGAAATACGTTAGATTTTCGATACATATAATTCAATCCACTTGAATTTGTGTATTTTACAATATATGGCATATATTTTGCCAAAACGGATAACTCAATAAATTCAAGTTGGAGCGGCTGCCAGCTACGCGCTATATAGTACCACGCGATCGTGTGAATTGTGGTGAATAGATTTGTATGGTGCGCTTGTGCAAACATAATCCATAAATCTTTTTATCCAATGAAGGCTACATGAAGAAATATTTTCTATATTAATGTCGATTGTTTTTCCTACTCGACTCAGCAAATAAAAGCGAATTTCCCGGTAACGGTATTTTTTCACTTATGATTCCTTCGCCTTTATGAAATTGCAAATAAACTAACTTCAATTCTCTAGAATTATGGTGTTTGGCTTTTATTTCCAATGAAAATCATGCATTTTTATCATACAGCAGAATGATTTTTATTTGGCGAGAAAATGAAAAAGCAAACGAATCAAATAAAAAGTGTATTATTCATTTATATATTCATTTTTATGAAAGCATTTTATTTTTCATTCCACAAGTTTCAATTTTGAGCACCGATTCGCAATCCAATGAAAATAATCCCAAATGCGGCGGTAAAAAAAATTCGCACAGAAAACAGCCAAGTACTTAAAATAATGGAGCTATTATATTCAATTTAAATCCGATTTGGAACGAAAAACAATAAGATTAAGTAATAAAGCCCCGTTAATCATTTTCATTTCATTGAAATACCGCATGTATTATTTGATTTTATGTAGATCCCGTTTGCATTGACCACAGATTATAACCAAATAGTAACAGCTTTTATTTCAATTAAATTTCATTGATGGATGGCGCTTTAATGTACGGTTACCAATAAATAATAGCGATTGTTTAAATTGAATATTCAAAGTAGTGGTTAACATCCGATCATACACAATGTGTTAAATCCACAAACACTATACATAATTATTAATTATAAGGATACATTAAATGTCAAGTCAAAGAAAAAGTATATTAAACATTTATTTCAGCTGAATTAATATAAGTGTTGACAAAAATATTCAAATGCAATATGTAAATTAAATGTATAAGGAAGTCAATCGGCGATCAATTTTTGTGCGACTCTTTCGAAGAGTCTCTTTGACGATAGTGGTTACAATATCGGCGAAAAAACTGCTTTCCCGCATAATTTCGCGTAAAATAAATACAATACATAGAATGTGCTTGATTCCAAGTGAATGAGCAATTTCGCAAAAATAAAATATACAAAATGAAAGGCTTTCCTGCTAGCAATTTGTAAATGAAATACAATAAGTCAAAAAGCTAAGATCCTAAGTAAGAAATAAGAAGAAGAAGCTTATCTAAATTCACATTAAGTTTTCTGTAATTACAAAATTCATTCTCATGGATAGGTCGCGGACATTCGCAAACTGTCGAAATTGTTCGTTCGTTAGAAAGTCATGTTCAGCATGGAGGCAACACGAACGAAAACGAAGCATTTGTGTTCGTGAGTAGCTTTTTGTCAACCACATTTCCATCGCTTTGTGGTATGTTACGGCATAATGAATGGACATCATTCATAATTTACACAATTTAACGAATGAAAAAAAATGAAACTGAATGGCATTCAATCGCCTTGAGCTCTGTTTAATTCAAATCGTCATCAGCATTTAAAATTGAACGTATACATTTTTTTTTTCTCGCACTCGTTTTATATTCCGGTTTCAATCAATATCGTTGTGAGCTCAATACTATTCAAGTTGTAGATTAAATGTGAAAAGTGAGCCAACTGAGCTGTTTGTATATAGAGAAACCTTGTACGGAAGTTATAAAACCGCAACACTGTGTATGTGTCAATCGTTGTGGTGGTTTCTTCATCTTTTCTTACTGGTCTTACAAATATTTGCAATGTCATCTTCTTACAAAAGCTACAGTATATACTGGATTTCATTGGGACAAAAGGCGGCCAGATGGATAGAGAGAAAAAAACATACAATGTCATATAGATTTAATGTATATGACGTCTCCAGTTTGGTTTGGTGTTGCAATAAATTGCAATAGCAACAGCAAATCACATCCAATTACATTCCAACTATATGTATTGTCTCCCACTCTTTTTACTTTCTTTCGCTTGCTTCGTTTTCTACTTTCTTGTTTTCTCTCTTTCTCCATTCTCATTCTATTACATAAAAAATGAATGCTTTTCAACAAATGCGGATTATTTCCGTCGATGCGATCTTATATTGAAGAGTGATTGGCGATTCCATGTGCAACAAAATATGCTCGGACTACGAAAAAAAAAGATTTGTCAAAGTAAATTCCATCAATTCATTCATTTCGATTTCAATTTGTTATTTCTCGATTTTCTTCTCCTCTGCATGTGCATGTTATTGTATGCATATATCAAATCAAATTGTGTGTATGCCATCGTTCCTATTAAAATTTCCATTTTATGAGCAAATACTATTATTCCAGTGCATTGAATTCAAACGCACACATATCCGAGGCTATAAAATCAAGCACTTGAACATTTTTGGTCGATCAATGGCCAACATTTTCTCAAGCGTTTTGCCTTTATCTGTCTCTGTTACCCAATTCAAATGAATTTCTCCGTTCTCAGTCACTATCCCGTTGTCTGCGCTGCTACGTAAGAGTTGCTTCTTTATTCGGTGCACGGATGCTTGAGATGATGATTTTTATTTCAATAATATCGACGAAGCGACATCGAAAACAAATTGAATTGTTACTATGAAAGTGCTTTTGTTTGGCATTCCATTGTTGTATACATACACATGCTATCTCTTTATCTCTCTCTCGAGCACAAAAGATAATGTCTTTCTAAATGACTTGGTTTCAAGTATTCCGATCAATAGCAATAGATTATGAAAAGAGGTAAAATACTGCATTAAAAAAAAACGAGTACCATCGATAATAATGAATAAATTAATTTTGTAGAAATCTCTGTGTATAGCCTCATAAAAATTACACAATAGACATTTTCATCATCATTATAACACAATTTTCTCGAATTTTTTTATATCTCCGATATAGGTTTTCCGGAAATCGTTTACAGCATTTTATACGGTTTATGATGTCACAAAAGAGTAAGTACACATGTTTAACTGGCTAATAATTGCAATGATTGTGCATAAAACCGGTAATTATGTAATTTATTAACCGGCATGATTCACGCGTGCATAAAAAGGTCATGTAATAGATTATTCATCTTCAGATGCAGTCGAACGACGCTCTATTCATCAGTGACCAATTGTTTTTCCGGCTCGATTTTCCATATGGAATAAAGGTTGTGTTAAAAAAAGCAAAATGTTTCAAGAGTTTTTTTTTAAATAAAAATAAAAAAGTGGCACTCTGTCAAAAGCAGATTTCAATGACACACTACGACACCTTTAAATTTCTATCTGCAAACATAGATCGACAAAAGAAAAGCTCTTCATGTGTGCTGTGTTGCTTGTGGTAGCAATGCACCAAGTGAAATAAATATTTCCATAAAGTAGCTTGTGCGTCATTGAGCTTCGTTCATTCAAAATGCATTATGCGTCTCATGGTACGTTGTTCGGTATAATGTTTCACTGTGTACAAAAGTGACATCGTGCTACTGTATTAATGGAAAAATGGCTCGAAGGAATTTTATTATGACAATAAAACGATTCAACGCAGAGTGCACTTATTTTCTCGCGAACAAAAAACGAAGCCATTTTTTCGCTTTTGTCAGTTTTTCGCCGTTTAAAAGTTATTTAAATGGGCAGTAAAGATAAAGAATGCATTTTCAATGACCATCTTCACGATGATTTTCATGGATTCCATGCAATGCATGCATTTATCATATACCTTTTATTTTATCGGATGAAACTAAAAAAATGCTCTTTATGCACCATGGAATGTGCCATGAAATTGCATTATACAGTCGTCACTTAGTTGCCTTAAAATTAAGTGTGACACGTTATACCATCAAATTGAACAATAAAAATGAATTGCCATTAAGTGTGTGTGTGTGTGTGTGTCTGTGCTGTTAGAAAATGGGAATTTCCGCACGATCTTTTAATGGGATATGTATCTGCGTCTCTATTTTGTGACAGTCATCATATGCCAGTAAGATTGAAAGCATCGCTAAAAGTACAACGAACCCGTTTACAATATGCAGCCTGGTTAGGAAATACGACGTCACTCGTTATTGTCGTCGATAATGATATTTATTTAAAGCAGTCGCCATCAGATGAAGACGACATTCGCATTACGAATACCGGAAAAATTGATTTAATTTACAATGGCGTACCTGATTGGTTGTATCAAGGTGAGTATTTAACATAAATAATCAGATTTTATCAATTGTTTTTGTTGTATCAATTGTTGAATAGTTTGGCGTACACAGGTTTTCGGGCAACATTTTGCCAATGCGATTTCATGAATTGAAAGAACTTAATTATAATTTGATTAACATGTTTGTTTGCAAGTCAATCGAAATGGAACAGCAATCAATTGCATCGGTTTCATTTTTGTTTCATAATTAAATTGTCACAGTTCAATAAATGCATTGAACTGGATCGCTGCTTTTGGCGAAAAAAAACAAACAAACAACAAAAACATGCGCCATTTTCATGAATCGCATAATTCAGTTTGGATCATGGTAACACTGTGTGCATTTGGCGATTAAGTAAATTTTTGTCTGCGCTAAATGGCTGTATTGCCGTACAAAAGCTGTTGTTGTTCTGTGATCAACCAATTTTTTACGAGCATCCACAGTGCATTTTTTGTGTTTCTAATTAAGTTTACTTGTTCGCTCATCACAATTCAGTCCATAAATTCCATGCACTATGCACATTGTACACCTTATTAAACTGATTAAATATTTTCAATCCATAAACTGTTTCGTTGGTGTTTTGCCACAATACGTATATATTAGGATATATAAACATCTTTTCGTAATTTATATTCAATGCTCGGTTGATTTCAAATGATGCGCCACTTTGTAACTCAAATTCAGCTATTTTATATTTTTTCGCACTCTATTCATTTCCTCCCTCTTTCTCTGGTATCGTTCGTTTGCTCAAGACGCTTTTGTCAACTTGTCTTTATTGTTTTGTGTCGAGCAAAACTGTATCGCTTCATTCGAAAGTAAATGTATAATGTACTGTTAGTGCAAGCAGACAGAAAGCAAGCAGACATAAGAAAAATATGTGCTTTTACGACATATTTTTATTATCTTGAACTCTATATATTCCATTTGAACGGTTTAGTTAGCAAACAAACGGATTACGCGAACACGTGTTTACTCAAAGCGAAAGCAAAAAAAAAGGAGAACAAAATTAAAAGCATAGCAAATTGTGCTTGCAGCCGGTATTGTTCTCATGTTCGCTCTCTCTTTCTCTCTCTGTTTCTCTTGTCTCCGATATATTTGATGTTATATTTTTCAAAACATTTATATTTCTATCTCAATTGCATTTTCATTTGTTTCGTGCACGCGTTCGTTGCATTCGTCGTCATCGCTGTGGAAAACGATCCGTGCAGAGGAAATATTTACAACACCTGAAGCTATTTGGAGTTCAGACGATGGATCTCATCTTATGTATGTTGAGTTTAACGACACTCAAGTCGGTACAATGGTTTATCCATGGTTTGATTCCGGTGCTGTTATGGCTGTGCACAGTTTTGGTAGTACATCGTTTCCAGAATCACGTACGGTGCGATATCCAACACCAGGTTCAAAAAATCCAGAAGTTAAACTATGGATTGTTGATATTAGCAACACAAGCACAATACACCAATATCCAGTTACGCCTCCCATTACACTCGATGGACAGTAAGTTAAAATCATTGCAATTCGTTACTTTTAAGACAGTAAAAAAACCATTGAAAACAAAATAAATGTCGCATTGTAAGAAGTAAACGTACCAAATTGAAGAGAAAATATGTTAACAAGAAAATAAAAATCTTGGAAAGAGAGAGAGAGAAAGAAACGAAATGTCTGAAAAAAGTGATATTGCAAAGCAGTAAAAACTACATGGCATTTACGTCATTGTGATGCGGTGACTTTTCATTTCGTGGTTAGTAACAAATGAAAAGTCGAACGAATTCTTTCTTGTGGTCGAACACGAATGTATCGACATTGGAATCGCATCGCAGCTGATTGGCCGAAAGAAGGGTGAAAAATTGTATGATTCTCTTCAATCGAGTTGGCATTTTGCCAGTTTCCATCATCACAAAGAACACAAAAATCAAAGAGTATTGACGACATTTCTTTTGACATGAAAAAGAAAAAACGGCCACCAAAGTCAACTGCCTACATTCAAGCCGTACAATCATATCAAAAGCATCATAAATTATTTTTTGCTCTTGTTGTCTTTATTAATAAAATAAAACTAGCAAAAGCCCCGAATCAACAAAAAAAAGCAACCGACAAGACAAATAACACATGAACTCTCGTTTCACATTTCTTTACGCTCCACGCGATGCTTCTACAGACACCGAGTTTCATAGTCTTGGGACTCGAAAGCCTTCATCGTACGAAAAGTTTGGCCGTGTTTTTATTGTCGTAATCATACGTATAAGATCATTTGATTTCATTGTGCTACTTTCTGGGGTGAAAAACTTTTATCAGCCCCAGCAATTCTCTCGCATTTTGTGCATTCGAAATGGCAACCATTACAAAAACGAACCAAAATTCGTGCAATCATTTTTCATTGGCGAAAACAACATCAATTTCAAGCTGCAATTCATTTAGCAGTCGTTCAACTATTAAGATTTGTTGATGTGTAACGAGAGTAAAGAGCGTTCATTTGGTGTGATGACGATTTGGTTTGCTCAATATGCTCAAGTGATTGTCGACATTACAGAATCGGAGAGTGAGAGGCAAGATATTCATCTTGCCAATCAAAGTTTTTCTGGTTGTGTGTCGCACGAGAAAAAATGCGTATAATTTATGTTTGTTCGTGATTTGGCAGTAGTTCTTCGTTGCCTAAATACCATCCACTCGATGGTTTTTCATTTGAAATTCAATGTGGATTTTTGCTCGATTCTCGCCAAAAGATCAACGCAAAACCTTTACGCATGTGAAATGCGGCATAACAACCGACAGAATAAAATCCAAAAAAAATAGTTGAAAGAGAATCAAATCCATTAACAAATTGAACTACGAAACAACGATGAGAGTATTTCTTCACATTTTCAGAAGTGAATCTTATATATAATAGTGGTGATATAGCTGGATATAGCGAATGTGTGGCACCAAATGGTAAAACTACAACTTATGTGAATATTTTATCTCGAAATCGTTTTACAGAGAGGTTTATATAACATCGGCAGGATGGGTGGCTGGTACAAATCATAATATATCTGTCGTTTGGATGAACCGTGCTCAGAATAAGAGTGTGATATCAACATGCTCGGAACCGGACTGGAAATGTATCGAGGTAATTAATGTGACAAACAACTAAATTCTAATCTTCCATAAAAATATATGTGTGCCTCTCGTCTATGTACTTTTGTATTTTGAAATGGGGCGCAAAAAATTAGTTTGGGTATGTGCCGCAATCTTTCTATCTTTTTCCCGCACTCACTTTTACTTCATCATCAAAATATTTTGAAATCGATATAGATCAGGTAAATTCCATTCGGAATTACTTTGCAAATGAAACTACCGCATTGAACAAGCATTGCCATAAAAGCCACTTGGTGAAACGATGAAGAATTCTCATTGATACAAAATTCAAACGTATTTCTTCAATCGAACGTGCCGCATTCGATAGACAACTATATAGATGAATGGGTTATGTTTCAAATAATTGTACAAAGTATCTCGGTACTCGATTTTTTGAAATTTTTCTGTGAATAGGGCTAATGTTTTAAAGCACACGTTTAATTTCGATCTCTTGTTGAAATTCTCGTTGCGATTTCGATAAGAAACAAAAACACATTTCCCAATTGATCTAGATACTTTTGATTCACGTTGAAAATAACATTCTACGTTTATTGCGATTTCTCCATTTGTTTGTTCAAACGAAAAACTAGCATAAATATCAGGTGGTTCCATAATGTGACAGGGAAAAAAAGGAGAAAAAAATAAGCCATTTCCTCTTAACACCTTTATTCCATTACGTCAATTGTATATGTTCGGACAGTTTGATGAGCACACACACTCACACACATTTGCAAAACGTGTGAATAAAGTGTTTAGTTACGCCGACAGTGTTGCAATAACAATGAGAAACGAAATTTATTTTTTACAAACCGCTTCGACCATATTCACACATATACTCATATCACCGAAACCATTGTCATTTCGTTAAAAGAGCAATGAAATGTATGAAACGCATAAGAGTAACCGCACACATAAAATACAGCAAAAACTACCATATTTTCTCAGCTGAAATTGTATTCGGTCGTCAGTGTGGCCTCCGCCCTGCCCGCAATCCGCTCAACGAGATAGCATTTATGTTCGTTTTGCTTCACATTTTTTTTCCTGGAGTTTCCACCATTTTCGCCGGTCGCGTACTTGGCATTTTTTTGTTCGGTTATTTCTCGCTTTCGGTTTCTACGTATGAAGATAAATATATTCGAAAATTCTGAATTATAAATACACATTTTCATGATGTTTTATGGATGTACTTACAGTTTCCAGGCCTTTACTGCGGCATTTTGTCATCATTTTTCGTTTTCGTCGTACGATTCGTATTGTTTCCATTTCAGTTGTCCATTGTATTGCTGTTTTGTTTCCACATATTTTTTTTGTCACTGGTTGCCAATTCGCCATTCATTTTTCTTTGCTGCTCTATGTCTCCAGCGATACACAAACCCATAAAATAGTGGAATATATTTGAATTTCTTTTGCGCTGTGTTTTGTTATTTTGTTTTGTTCTTATTTAACTTGGTACATTTTTCTGATTTTTTGTCTCTTCCCTTTCCGCTCACTCCGCCCGATGATATTCATTTTGCAGACGCATTCCGAACGGGCACCCGAAGACGAATGGCTGGACATCTTGCCGCATCCAATCTTCTCACCGGATGGTGATAGTTTTTTAATGTTGGCGAGCATTCAAGAGACTGGAACTGAACATTTTACTCATATCAAACATGTAACAATAACTCAACAAAGGATCAGCGTTATTTCACATGGCCGATACGAGGTATGTATTGGAACTATGTTTCCAATGATTTTCTTCTTTGGGTATATTTTTTAAACGACATCGAATTGCAGAAAAAAAGGTTTATAAAATTATTGAAAACGAAATACAATGATTTTTGTCCCTCTGTAGCAAATCGTAATTTAAAGCAAAATTTGACCGTACCCATTTTGAATGGCCGACCGATCGTTTTGCCAAATACAAAGTAAAAGTGTTTTGGTTTCACTATGGAAGATTTACGGCTCAAAAGGCATAAAGCTCTTCTCTCCATTTATTCGCTTCATCACCCCCACCCTACCTCGAAACGAAATTTTCTTATATGAATTGCATACGATATTTCGAAAATGTTCGGTTAGTTGAACAATTCCGTTACTATTTTACAGTATAGCATATAAAATTGTACGCTCTTTTTTGCAAAACAATTTTCCAAAAATATTCAAATGATCCCAAAAATTCTCAACTCATAGTTGAAATGTTTCCTGTTTTCAATGGCATTGCATTCGAATTTAAAGGAGATAGAAAACATGGAATGGTTCGGTATTTCATTATACAACAAGCATAAATTCTTCAAAAAAAAAAAACATTTACTCCAAGATGAATGTGGACGTGTTTATTTAGCATTTAGGGAGCTTTTATATAGCATTCATTTCAATAAAGCATCATAAATTATTGTCGATGGAAAAGCAGACAGGAAAAAAGACGATATTTTGAAGTGGAGTTAGTTATGTGTGCTGCGTCTTAAGAAAAGAGAACGATGCTCTCTCGCTCTGACTTTCACTCAATGCAAAATTAATCTAAATTGTAATCATAACTGCCATTCTACTCATTGCATTTTTATTATTATTGTTATTGTATTCATACGTGATATGTGAGTGCGTATGCGTGTGTGTTGGGTTTGAATGAACTTTCGAATGTGAATGTTTGCGTATAAGCAATGAAGTAAGTTGAATGGCAAATGATAAAAGAGTCTTATTACCATCATTCACCTGCTCTAGCGTGCTTTATTCCCAAGTCAGTATAATACTCTTTTCGAAGAGTGTACACGCTCTTCTCACACTCTTCGTATAGTTTTATTCGACTCCCTTCTCACACTCTTCTCACACTTTTGCATAGAACACGTATATTGTTTTTAACTGAGCTTCAATTTTTTTCTCTAAAAAATTTTTTTTTTTTCTTTATAATAAATTTTTCCACTGATGGATAATTTTTGATTTTGTTAATTTTTGACATTTTGAAACAAATGAACGTATACAAAAAAAATGAATTAGATGTTGCAACAGCAATTGTCGTTCTGTTGTATTTTGACACAGCTGACGAATGCTATAAACGTCAAAAATGTTCAAATATCAAAATACAAACATTACTTCCACTGGAATGCAGTGACAGCAGTGATAGCATTACCAATACCATTACACACTCTCTTCTCACTCAATATACGTGTTTTATGCAAAAGTGTGAGAAGAGAGTGAGAAGAGTGTGAGAAGGGAGTCGAATAAAACTAAACGAAGAGTGTGAGAAGAGCGTGTACACTCTTCGAAAAGAGTATTATACTGACTTGGGTTCTCTTGACTTCTTTGTCTCTTTTTTATCTTTAAGTCATTAAGTGTGTTCAACTCTCTATCTACAAGAATGATCAAAGACATATCTACATGAATACTTGCAATTATTCTATCCATGTATGCGTGCCACACTCTTTATCTTTCTCTCGCTGTCTCAATCCAATGCACGAGCTAGAATAGGAGCTATAAAAGTATAAAATAAGTTGAATACATTCCATTCACAACAGAAAGTGCACACATTAAAATGAAGTAAATTTGAGATGTGTATGATATTCGCACAAAACGTCATTAATATTGGTTATGATTTTTCTGAATGTGTTTCATTTCCTGGTGTAGTTTTTACCTTTATCAATTTTCATGGCATCGTCGGCATTACCTGTATTTTTCGGCAGCTACGATTACATTTTCTATTCTTTGTTTGTGATTTCACCATTTTGCTCACATGACTGAATGCTTTTAATGAAAGTCCTGCTGTATCGAACTGACCCTGTGTAAATCTTTACAGCAACATTGTTGATGGATAATTTATTCATCGATTTTACAGTAAACAAAAATATTCGCCCGTGTATCTTCGACGACAAAATCGAAAATGAATGTTTGTACGTTCAATCGACTGCTGCCAAAACTGAAATGTTTGGTCAGTCTATTTTTGCTTTATTCCTATATTTGATTATCTGTCTATTCACTGAATCGATTTTAGATGCATTGATATTGCTTCGAAATATATTTTTGAAGGTAGTATGTGAAAATGTAAACTAAAATCAATGCAATCTATTCAGACAAATCGAAGCATGCAATCGATCAATAAATTCAGTTGTCGTAAATAAATAAAATTTTGAGTTTGAACCACTTTACTTTGACACGATGAGAACCATTAATCATCGATGTGTTGAGGGAATTTCAAATATTTGCCCAGTTATTCGAACTACTTCTCAAAGTAAACAATATCGTGTGCTGCTCGATATCGAACTGTTTGAACTTTAAAAGTAAACGCTGTGTTGATGAAAGAAATGCATTCAAACACACAATATATTTATCATCATAAATTGATTGGTGAAAAGCTCATAAAAAACCATTGACCATAATCAAATGGGAACACTTTATCCTGAAAATCATATAAATTGTAATCAATTTCAATGTGGCACTGGGCTAATGTATTGAAAACAAAAATTGAATAAAAGTAAAAACCTCTTAAAAAGTTATTAAAAATTACAAAAATAATGTTACGAAAATTAAATAACGAAACGAAGTGTAAAACGCTATTTAAACTTTAATGAAATAAAATCATTCACCTCTGTCAAAGAGGCTCTTGGCACAAACATGGAAAATCAAATTACGTAAACAGATGCAACAAACAAACAACAAAAAAAATTTTTGAAAAAAATTACCGATTGATTTATTTGTTTATATTATTTTATTTTGTGTATTCTGATGTTCCTTTTTATATATTCATATACAAAATGGTATAAAATGGTTCGTGGGTAGCAAGTAGCTGTCATAACAAATGGTAGACATCAGGTGAGGTAATCTGATCTGCACTAACATATATGCAATAACCGTGTGTGTATTTGTTTAAACGTCATCATTTTAAATATTCAACATTACTCAATATTACAATATACCACAAAATTATCACATATAATATTGCCATTAATTTGTAATTAATCATTTAGTGTGTAATCATCGTAAACGTACGTAAATAAAATAAAATATTACGCATAATCGCCGCCTCTACCGCTCCCTTCAGCTAACTAATCGAATTGTGTACAATTGAAATTATGCAGATAAATTTGAAATGCAAACAAACACATGTATTGCATAAACTTTTCCTCATAAAACTAAAATGTAAACATTTTGATTGTGTTGATCGAAAATTTCCATTTCCCGTTCATTATATGAATTAGTAGACAATTACTTAGGCTTTTTTTCATTTGATATCATTATACAATTGGACATTGCTTTTCGTTATATCGTGCATAATTTTTGTTTTGTTTTTGGTTTATTTTAGTTTTATTAATACCAATTTCATTGTCATCCAATTTCAATTCACAAATATTCTGTCCGAAACTCGAAAACGAATTTTATTGTCAAACACATAAAATGAGTATTACTATAAGTGCTGGAAAGAGTACAGTAAATATATATTTTTGATAAATGCTCCAACGTATGTAAATGTTTACATGTTCTGTACACTGACAAAACTAAGGTTATGATTTTGACAACTCCGTGTTGTAAATGCTTACATTCCAACAAATGTTGTGAAGTAGCCAACAATTGTTGTCGTTGTGAATACATATAATATATGCCATTGTACGTATTCACAATGACAACAATTGTTGGCTACTTCACAACATTCGTTGGAATGTAAGCATTTACAACACGGTGTTGTCAAAATCATAACCTTAGTTTTGTCAGTGTACAATACCGTTTTGCTCTTGTTTATTTTAAACAGAAAACGTCAATTAAATTTAATAAGACACTTAATTTTCCTTCGTGCATATCATCACAAAGTGTCTAATGCATTTCATTTACCGTGTGTTTTCATGGAAATCATAGAAGCCGTTCCGAAATATAAAACGCTTTTATCGTGCGATCACGTCATTAAAAGTCATACTATATTTAAAAAAATAAACCTCACACCACATCAACTTTCTATCATCATCAGACTAGCTATTATTGCGATTATATTAATACTATATATATACATATAAGGTATAAAATCATGCATTTCGAGAGTGTTTGTCGATTTAATGAACATCACCTTCATGTAAATATAGAGCCGTTCAAAAATTTATTATTGTGTGTGCGTGTGATTTTTTTTAAAAACTCTTACTCCTCAAAATATTTTGCGAATATTTAAACATTGTGCGCTGATAGACTGTATTCGTTTGAATAAACGTGTAATCTAATGTAATAATGCTTTTAAAATTAATTTGAACTGGGTTTTGTGTGTTTAAACGCTTCAACGCTCTGTGATATGTTTTTTCGTTAAATCTTGTTTCCGATTTCAGCTTTGAGAGCGAAAGAAATAGAACAGCATAATGTGCGCACAAGATAGGACACGGAAAATAGAATGCACATTCAATGAATGCGCAATTTTTTCATTCTATTCTTGTCGCGCTCGTGTGTTTTGATTACTTCCATAAAATGTTCTAATTGCTATCAATTACAGGTGCTGAAAATATTAGCATGGGATACGAAAAACCATTTAGTGTACTACCTCGGAACACAAGATAGAAAACCGGGCCAACAACACATGTACGTTGTCAAAGATCCACTGAACAAGGACATTGGAAAGTGAGTATAATCAAGATAAAATATGATGATGGATTTTAATTTCTTCATTCTTGATGAAGGACAAGATGCTGCTTGAAAATTTATTATTAAAATTTTATTCATGCCAATTTGTGTGCCTCTTCTCTTTTCCATTATTCGCGATTGTATTTCGCCAAAAATGACAACCATCAACTGAAACAAAAAAAAAACATTCGTTTGATGATATTCCAACGACAGAATGGAGCCGCAATGCATTACGTGTGATATTGAAAATACGTTGTGGAGTAGCCGACGACTGTATAGAAATTGTTCATACTTTGATGTTTATCTAAGTCCACTGTCTTCCATAGCAACCGATTACCGTGTCGAACATTACGTTTTGGAGTGTCAGGGGCCCACATTACCTGTAGCCGGTAATCCAATTATCCATATTTCCTAGTTTCTACGTCTTGCCATTACAAACCGCAATTAAATTGCTTCAGTTTGTCTATTTTTAACACTCACTTCACCACCCATCATCATTAAATTCACAGTCATATTGCTTTTCAATTTAATGTTATTTTCATTTTAATGCGCATTTTCTATTCTTGTTCACACAATATGTTCTACTATATATATTTTAATTGCTCCGTTTGTTTTGTGCGTACGTTTCAATTTGTTTTTTCCCTTGCAGGTGTACATTCAATCAAAACGAATATATTACTGCAAGAGCTATATAATACGGCAAATTCAACGTTAAGACAACGTCTCGATAAACTAGCCTTGCCAAAGAAACATTCATTCGAAATAACCTTGCAGCATGGTACACGTGCTCAAGTTCAAATTTTGTATCCACCAAGTTGGCGAGAAGAATTGCGCGATGCTGCTTTTCCCGTCTTAGTTGAAGTGTAAGTATTAATTTCCATCATTCAAATCCTTCACCAAAATCAATACGTACCCTGGTGTCTGTCACACAAGCGATATGCCCGACAAATTATTTTCAAAAAATACGAATTTGTAAGGTTTACGTCTAATATCTCAACAAATTGGCGATTGATTGAGTTGAAACAAAACATGTTTTATTATTTGTGCTCGGAAGCTTTCCTGTCAAAATATTCTCATATTAGAAGAAAACCTAATAAATTCTGATTTTGGTAAGAATTCGAAAATAATTTGTCGGGTTTATCTCTTGTGTGTATATCAATTTATTTTTTCCCAGTGTGTCCATAATATATAGAAATATCACTAAATAGTGTCGATATCTATACTATATCGGTCCACTATATATGAAAGATATTGCCGCACGGCACCGTATCGCACGATCGAAGTCAGTGTAGACGGAAAAAATCACAAATTGCCGTGCGGCAGTAGAAAGAACTGTGTGTATGTTTCAACATGTTTGCCGTCCGCAATCACTTCGATCATGAGCTACGGTGTCTTGCGGAATATCTTACATATATAGTGCACCGATATAGTATAGATATCGACACTATTTAGTGATATTTCTATATGTTATGGACACACTGTTTTTTCCACAAAAAACTTCGAGAACGATTAACATCACTGACAGCAGTCAATACTCGATCGGGAAAATATCAACATGCAACGGATTATAGACGGTTCAATTTGTTTTTTTTTTCTTCGTCTCGAAGTTATTTATACGCATAATAATTGATGCAAAGTGAGGCCAACACTGATTTTACAGTGTTCTGCAAACGAAACGGGCCAATCATTCATTCAAATTTTTCAGAATCAAGTGACGTGTACTTCGTTTTTCGTTTTCGAATTTTTTGAATGAGAAATAGACGAAATTCAAATTGTAAATCGCGCATTTCAAATGAAATGAAAAGTACAATGTGTAGTATGCTTTCACCCAATACACACACACAGTTCTGTTTATGCAACTGTCGTTGTTTGACGCGTACACACCATACAATGCCCAAAGACAGCACTTTTTGTAAAATGTCGATTTGAATAAGAAATTTCATTGAAAGTAATAAATTTTCGTGCTCAAGGCAAAATTATCATTTCTCGATTCGTCTTGCTCATTTTCGTTGCTGGTTTTTCTATTTGTTTTAGCATTTCACCGTTTTCCATTTTATACTCACTCGCAAACCATTTTTTGAATAATGTTTAACAATGTCAATACACGAAAAATACAGCAATTCATACAGCATCAATACGAGCAGCATTTTAAATATGCGTTAGCTACTAGTATATTGTTTGGTTGAACATGTTATGTTTTAAAATCGTTCTGTTGATATTCCTTTCCTCGCAATTATGTTTGTGTTGTGTTTCAGCAGCGCTGCCACCATCGTTACCACCGCCCAACTTTGTATATTGAACTGTATTCACATAAAATTCAAAATGAAGGAACAAATCCTTAGGCACTTTCTGTGTAGTACGTTCCATTTACATCATCAATGATAAGGTATCGGCATCACTGTCATGACTAAGGGGTGTAAGGTGAACCCAATTTGGCAAACATTTTACAGCGATCATTTCGAAAATAACGGTCACATTAATCAATTTTCGTTGTATTATTGATTGTATGTCGATTGAAATTGGTGAAGGCAAGAGTCGATCCCATTTTAAAGTAGCTAGTGTGTTTTTAGCACTACATTGTTTTATGTCATATGCAAATGTGGCTCTTTTGTTTCATTATTTGCAGAAATGGTCGACCGGGAGCATCGTCAATAACCGAAAAGTTTCAAATTGATTGGGGTACATACATGTCGAGTCGTAACGATGTCATTTACATTCGCTTAGATGTTCGTGGTTCGAAAGGACAGAGTAAGCAAGCGCTCTATCGTCATTTGGGCGGTGCCGAAGTTGAAGATCAAATCGATGCGCTAAGGTAAGTTATTTTTTTAAAATTCAGAATTCAATTTTTCTTCACCTGAGACCAATAATGGATTGGAAAAACTCGCGCACTTTCGCTCACCGAACGATTCAACAGCACAGCACAGAACAATGGCTGTGGAAAAGAGAATACCGAACGGAAAAACTTATTTCACATGTCGAAAATCGAATTCATTTTAATTAATTTCATGTTGCTATTCAGCTGTGCGGCACGGCATTTGATTCGTTTAATTGAATGCATGACAGCAAATGCTTTTCAAGCAATAGTTGACAGGTACCACAGTAAAATTGCGTATGTTAAATTTAAATGTGAATTGTGGTGTAAATTAAATGAGGTGAAATGACAGCTTTCAGCATCGGTTGAATATGAATGTGATCGAATCTGAAACCATGTGCACAAAACTAAAGCTTTAATTCATTGAAATGCATAATTAAATGGTTTTAATCAAATTCATTGCTCAATCGATTTGAAAAGGAGCGAGTACGACGTTTCCCCCTTTGCTAAGCGAAATTAATCCGATATACGGCGCTGATGTAAATCTATGTCATTCCACAATGATACATTTTTTGGCTTTCATTCACAATGAAACATATCATTAAATATTCTTCTTACGTTTATCATAAAAAATCTCTATATTTTAAAAATAACAATAATTTCAATTTTTTTTTTTTTTTTCATAGATTGAACAAGAATCTAATGTAAAAAGTAATAACAATGCGACACCTACCGTTTAAATAGAAAAGGAAACTTATTTGGAATTGTAACATTTTGGTCCGCCATAACAGCATCTTCGTTTTGCTTCTCTGTGATTGGTCAAGTAAAACGAAGATGCTGTCATGGCGGACCAAAATGCTACAATGGAGACCAACTAAGTTTCTTTTTGCATTTTTACGGTAGGTGTCGCATTGTCATTACTATTTACATTGGATTCTTAAATATTTAATCGATGAAACATTTTTTGTTGAAATTATTGTAATTTATAAACAAATTAATTTTTTTATAAAAAAAAATTTTTAATAAATTTTTTAATGAAAAATGTTAGAAAAATATTTTATGACATATTTTTTTCAACGATTCAATAATTATGAATGTGTATGCATTTTAAATGAAGAGCTTATATTGTCAAGCCAAAAAAGTATTATTTCGAATTAATTTCGCTTGGCATAGGGGGAAATATTTTGACAGATAGTACTCGATCCTTTCAATCAAATTTGCACGACCATTTCCAAATGATTCCATTAAATGTTCAAAGAAAAAAACATAAAATCTTTGCTCGAGGATAAAAAATGATTTGAAAATGTGTCGAATTTTAAACAAAAAGTTTCTCTTTCGAGTTTTTTTTTAGTTTTCAATCACCACATTTTTGTGCAAGTGTTAATAAAAATATTGATAGCGTCAATTGAAAAACACACCACGTATACGTATTCGCATTGTTTGAAAATGTCTGTATTCGCACACATATTCATACACATTGTTTGACGCAAAAATATTTCCAATTTCCTGTATTCATCATAATCACGTATAACAATGAATATGAATATATATAATGAGGTTGAGGTTGATGGTGGTGATGGCGATGGTTTGAGCCGAACTTCGTCGATTTTGCATAAACCTTTAATAGCAATTTCACACATTATTGATCAAATAATGACATTGCTAATAATATATGGTTTCAAGTCAAGTGATAGAAAATTGTGTGTACGGCGGCTGTTGTTGTTGTTCATAAAATTCAAACCGATTTTATATACACGTATTTTTCCAACTGGTGGTAACTGTCACTGTGCTCATCGAAACACTCTCGGATAAAATTCGAAATCAGTTGACGTAGCATTTACGTCAATGCTCATGGTCATAAATCATAAAACATTGCTATTGGTTGTGGTGGTGCTGCTGTTGCTGTTGCTGCTGCATTATTGTTTGGCAAAAGTGATAGCATTTTCAGTGGAAGAAGAATGAAAATTTTTGATTGAAAAAACATTTCGGGTAAACATAAACAGTATGCTAAAATTGAACGGTAAACGACTCGATTATGGCATAAATTTCAATGATTGCACAACAGTTTTTATACAATAAAATCCATAAACACTTGGATTGGGTGTGCAATTTAATTGTTTTTCGTTCATCAGAGAGAAGGAGAGGGAAAGAGCAAAAGAGCTTACCATTTTTGATTATTATTCAGCTGCAATACGAGCCATTAATTTTATTGTATGTCGACTGGCTCAATACTGAAGCATTGTTTTGCGTCGCATTCATATAATAAATTTATTTTTCTTTTCGTTTCTTTTATATGAACGCTTTGATTAACATTTTCATTGTATTTCTTCTTTTTTCTGTGTGCATTTGTTTATTTGGTTTGGCGCACACTGTTTGTTATTTTAACTGGCAACTGATACTGCTGTTGCTGTCCTCGTGCACAATGGAATAAATAAACTTCGGTGGAAATGTAGCCACTTGTTGTCAAATATGAACTACCTTGACGAGACCAGAGTTGGAATCTGGGGATGGGGCTATGGTGGCTATGTCACTGCAATGGTACTTGGCGCACAACAACCGGTCTACAAATGTGGCGTTTCTGTTTCACCAATCACCGACTGGCTATTCTACAGTAAGTAAATCTACACACACACACAAAATTTCCGACTGCACTTTATACCAATTACAGGGTGGGCCAGAATAACTGCAATTTTTATATGTGCTCAGAAAAAGTATTGTTTTTTACTAAAATTGAATGAAAACTTTATTGGGATTTAGAATAGGGTCCAAAATTTTAAATTCATGTTTTGGTTTTGATTCTTCCTCCGTTTGCACGGATCACCAAACGCAAACGTCGTAAAAACGATTTACACGCGGACCGCACCATTTCGATGGGAATATCGTTCCAAATCTTGACGATTTTCTTTTTAAATGCATCCAATTTTGTGGTTTTCGTAATCTTCAGATCATTTAACTTTGATTGCATGTAGCCCCACACAAAATAATCCAATGGATTCAAGTCTGGAGACGATGGCGGCCATTCGTCTTTATCAATAAAATCAGGCACATTTTCCTTTAACCACTGTTGCACTCTGTTTGCTCGATGTGACGGTGCCCCATCTTGTTGAAACACCCATGGTTCATTACCAAACACTTTTTTGGCGTGTGGCAACAATTTTTTGCGCAATATTTCTTCTTCATACACAGCTGCATTGATTTTAACGCCACTTTCAACGAAAACAAGGGGAAATTTGTGGTCGGCCGAAACGGCGCCCCAAACCATGACACTTGACACATTTTGATATCGTTCAACGACTAAATCATCTTCAGGAATGTCCTCAATTGTCGCTGCGTAAACACGATCATTTTGCGCATTGAGACTTGGCTGCAAAAGGAACAACTTCTCGTCGGAGAAAACGATGTTTGAGGTTGCGGCCCGGCTTAGCAGCTCTTTGCATTTTCGCTTTCTATCTTGCTTATTTTTTTTTGTCAAACCATGTTTTCGGGTTTTTTTGAATGGTTTCATTCCCAAATCTTCTCTCAACACTCGTCGCATTGAAGATCGACTGATATTGTGCTCACGAGCTAATATTCTGGCGCTTCTTTTGTTATTTCGAAGAATTTTCTTTCGTACCTTTTGGACCAGACCTTTTGTTCGTACAGATCTTTTTCTGCCCGTTTTTCGCTTCACATCGACAGTTCCACGCTCCTTGTATCGTTTTATGGTGCGATGAATAAAATTCAAACTGATATTGTCGATCTGAAGCTTCCGAAAAATATCAATTTGTCGCAAACCTTTTTTATGCAAATTCAAAACGAGTTGACGTTTCACATCCATTATTGTAGCAAAGTAAACAAGAACTGCGCAATAATGTGCATCATCACAGTGGATAACCAAAACATGAATAAACATAACGGTAAACAAAAGAGTGACTGGAAAGTTATTATAGTAGTATCTACATAGGTGCGAAAAAAAATTGCAGTTATTCTGGCCCACCCTGTATACAGCCTCAAACTGATTTGACAAAAGTGAAAGATACAACAGCACAAATTCAATGGGATTACATGAATAGAAAATTAAACTTGCACCATTTCTTCGCATCTCACATCGACGACAATGTTCAACAATTGAAATTGCCAGTATATACATGTGTAATGAATTCATTTACTCGATGATTTCAAGTTAGCAAGTGTAACAGAGAGCAAAATAGAGAGAAATTCAATGCCATATAATTTTCGTGAATGATGTGCAGACACCAAAAGCGGCTGTATAATTAAGGCTGTATGTACATTTAATCGGAAAATATCTCGCTTCGATGATAGCTACTAAATGGATGAACATGAGTGGGGCGTTGATAATAATGACGTTGAATAGAAGCAATTCATATTCCGAACGATGATATGCGAACGGTTTTAAAAGAAAAATTGCACGCCAAAAGCTTCGTTCAAGTGGCTATGTATTTTAATCGATTTTCATGAGGCTTACATTCGCCAACCACTGTGAACATGAATAATTTTTAATAGCTTTTACCATAAAAACTGAGGTTTCCTCATTCCAAAAACATGAGAAACTCAATGATACTCGATTTTAACGTGGTCGCATTTACATTTTGTACGTACATGCATATATGGTGTACATTTGCATGCACGGATGCAACTGTTTCATACATTTTTTTGTGTGTCATTGCATTTGGAATTGGTGAAACTATAGAGTTTTGGTGTGGCGAGAAATGTTGGTTGGAATATGAAAATACCTTGCCCGTTCATCAATTTCCAAGTGAAATATAAATGTTTTCGGCGATAAGTTGAGCTGACGAGTCTAAAGCATGCATACAATTTATGAGCGGCGCTCAACAAGGTCATGCCTACAGAAACTGAAAAAATATATACTCAGTTGGTTCGACAAAAAAAAATTGAGGACACGAACTACTTACTGCTCATTTTAGTAGAAATAAAGTAATTTGATAAGTTATGGCATAGATTTTTTTTTTCTTCAAATATTTACATTCACACATAGACATTGCTGTGAAATCGACACCAACCTATCGCAATAAAAAAAATCTCGTATGAATGATGAAGTGTATGCTTTTGCCATAGCAATGAAACTAAATCGGTGGAAAATATTAAAATATATTACGTCACGTCACAATTTAATTTTCTGCCGTTCCTTCATCCACATCATTTTTCTTTTGTCGTTAAATTCATCATCTCTTACATTTTTTCAAAAAAAATGCTTATATAATTTTTCTCGTGTTTTTAGATTCGGCGTTTACAGAACGAATTCTGGGACTGCCGAATGAAAATTATAAAGGTTACGTTGAAGCTGATGCAACACAACGAGCAAGACATATACCATCGCATTCGTTCTTTTTATTACACGGTTTAGCCGATTCATCAGCTCCATATTTGCATGGAACGCAGCTGGCACGTGCACTCGCTAAAGCCGGAGTTATATTTCAATATCAAGTAAGAGATAAAACGATTGCATTTTATATATTTTTTTTGTCATATCGATCACACACAGTGAATTCTCCGAATTGATACGAAATGATATCTAGTTGTTGCTACCGAACATTCGATTTCATGTAAATCAATTGAATATAAAATGAATGCTTAAAATGTGTATTTATTTTTCTCTTCCTGAAATTTTTTCTCGTTTCTATACACAGACGTACGCAGATGAGGGTCACGAATTGAGTAACGTCTTGGAACACGTGTACAAATCAATGGAACACTATTTGAAAGACTGCTTAAGCTTAGATCCGGACGATGAGAAAACCGAAGCAGATAGTTCAGCATAAGAAACATTCTCTTTTTTCCTTATGTGATACACACAGCTGTAAACGAATTTGATACATTTTAAAATGACAAGATTTTAATAGAAAATACTAGCTCACATCCGTAACGAAACAGAAAAAAAACCAAAGGGATGAAAAAAAATATTTAAGATTTATGTGAAATCGATTCTCTCCCCGTGTGAAAATGTAGTTTTGCTTTTGACAAAAAAGGAGAAGAGTGCGTGACGTGACAACCATGACAACGACCGACTTCAATCGGTGAAAAGCAATAAACTCTATCATCTTTCGTGTGGAAACACATTCGAAAAAAAACCGACGATTCTGTGACACATGTGAAACACATCAATGTGAAATATAATTGATCATTGAGTTCGAATGACGAAATTTACACGATAAAAGCATCTAGAGAAAGAGTTTAATAGTGATAAAAAATAAATATCAAAATATTTTCAGATGAAATAACATAAGTGAAGAAAAAAAGAAACCGTAAAAACAGAATTAATCCAGATTTGATGACATACAACTAACGACAACGATGCAATGCAAAATACATTCAATTTCAATTTGTATTCTCTGCCAAAGCTGAAAAGAATTTGTTTTGGTAGTAAAACATCAACGCAAACAAAGGAAATGCAGAGAGAAAAACGAAAATAATAAGTAATTCTATAAAGGAGAGTGGAATTAAAGAGAAAACAAGAACATATAAAATGTTAACATAAACAAGTGCTTTAAAATCCAAACAAAACAGAAAATCCGCTACTAACAAGCTGAACTTAAACCTTCAATCTTCATTGACTGAACAAAGACGAATGAAAAATGTGTTTATGTTGTGTTTTTAGTTAATTTTAAAAAAACTTCATTTCTTCTTTGAAACCAGTCACCATATTCTTCCACTGTATTCACATTCTGAATTAGATAAACAAATATCAAAGCATACGAAGTGTGCAAAGGTTTAGTGTGTAATTGCATTGCAATCGACATTCGAGGTAGATTGAAAAGTGTATAACGAAGTGAAGCGAACGAAGCTTTTTGCAAAATTGATGCAGACATTAAGACAGCGAAATATAATAAAGTGAGAGCCAACTAGTGGAGTTTCCATATGAGAATATTATTAATTATCCGTGTATCATTATAGAATTCGATTTCCTGTTGTTTCGATGCGCCGAGGTGTGCGAATGATGAAATAAAAGTGTGAGCACGCGCACGCTTCCGCACACAATTCCATCAAAATGAAATGGAACACAATTCCATTAACAGCATCCTTCATTCGCCTCGAAACAATACACAATTGATCTTATTCGACTTTAAACTAGTTGATTTAAAGTGCTTTTTTTATTACAAACGTTTCGTTTCCGTTTTCCATTTACGTGCTCGAGAAAATATTGCACAAACAAAATCGAGCATTAAAACGGACAAAAACGGGTAGGGAATCGAAATCCGTTCGAACACAAATTTTCGTTCGTTTAAAACGCAAGAGAGATCGAATACAGATTTTATTCGAAAATAATTGATTCGAATGAGTGTTTGTACAACTGAGAGTTTATAGAATACAAGTATTTGTTGAGCGGTTCGGATACATGAGAATGAGAGCTCAATGGAAAAATGAACGCTTGCGTTTTTAATGAGGAACAAAAAAACTAAATAGCGAATTGTAAATAATAGTGAAATAGTATAGTCGAGATTATTTAATCAAACGCGCGAATTGAAAGTGGCAACAGCGTTTTAGATATTAAGTGTAAATTGAAAATAAATAGAACACAGACTAACAGTGAAGAGTAAAAACTTAGATAATGAAATGGTTGTGATTGTATAGATGTAGCGATAAAAGTAGATGAAATTTCTCTCTCTCTCTCTTTCTTTCTCTGTGTATGCAATGCATATTTTAAGCACATCATTTGGACAAAATCTCTGCGCTTCAAGGGGCGAAGCATATTGTTATATTGCGACTTTATTACTTAAAATTTGCTGAAGTAAATGAGTTAAAATACACACGGACTAGAATCTAATTTGGAATTGAACAGAATTGAGTGGAATTGAAAGAATTTAATCTAGTACTGCTTCGCCCCTTGCTTCGCTTGCAATTTATAAAAAGCATTGATTGGTGATCATTGTTGCATTGGGATTTATCACATGTAGAATTGTGTGCAAAAGTCCATCTTCAAGTGAAGTGCGATGGATGAGACGATAGAATTTCAAAATAACAATGATGCGAGATTGATTCCAAAGCACCAATATGATAAATCATATACTCACATTGATTTTGATTTGTCATCCTTTTATGCGATACTATATAACCGAAATGACAGGCCAATAAATTCACACAATGACGTGTGTGGGTGTGGGGTGTATGTATGTTTGCACGGGCAACAAGTTATTATATTCAGTCGCAAATTGTCGGGAATTTAAATACCCAACCATAATCATCGATATGGTTTCATGTGTCATTGTCTCATTATTTTAAGCTTAATGCATTGTCACTTCAATCACACTTAACAATGTCTCTCTAATCATAGTCGACATTTGCTGAGGATACGGAAAACTAAGTATGTCGTAACTCAAAAATGGCAAACGTGTCGCTGAACGACATACTCACACAAATTCATAATGCATTTTAATGAAATCAAATCGAAGTCATACCGACACATGCACACTGAAAAATTTCCTGAACAAGTAGCAACCAATGTTATTCTTATAGATAAAAAGTGAATTGATGATAGAAACGTGTTACATTGTTGCAATGCGGGAAACGGACAATCTCAAATCTCAAATGTTGAATGGCAGAAGTGCAAATACATCAAGACTTGTGATTTCTTGAATAACCATCAACAAATGATGATGATTATTTAATGAATATTTCAAGGTATGAGAAATATGAACGAAGACCCGTTAAATTACATTTAGAATATATTGCAAATGCTGAATCACAATGTTATGTGTGGAATAGCAGGAGAGGGAGAGGGAAACCACTTTCGCACTTTCTCGTTACTGCTGAGTATGTACTTAAATCAAGCAAACATTAATCATGAATATTTAACATGATTTTGAACTTTGAAGTACCATTTCATCATGTTAGAAATGTAATGAGTAGGGTGTTAGGGCTAGAAATATTGTTTTAATATTATAGATTGAGGCAACTTGTTGTGTACGTCGTACCTGTAATATGTAAATGTATAAACACAGTGATAGTTTTTAGAAATGTATGTGTGCGTGCGTGAAAGTGGATAATTGAAGCGTACACCTACAAACTTGAAAATCTCTATCTATGCAATAATAATCCCGACAAAATTAGTCAAAACTGAATGCATTCTGTTTGAATCACTTAGACGAGCCCATTTTAATTGATTTAAAGCAATTGCAATACACACACACAAGCCAATAGAGTTAGAAAATGTTACATTCTGAGCAGGATACCAAAAATCTTATGTGAAATCGAGAGGGGTGCATGAGATGAAGGAGCAAAATATCAGAAATTACAATAAGATTTATACCATTATGGATAAATGGACGCGCATCACTATTCTAGACTCACACAAAGACACATACACATATAAGAGCAATCTCGGTTGTATAGTCAATTAAATCATTAAATTAGCATTTAGCCAATTAAAATGCTACTCTCTCACAATACTCTTGAACTTTGCCAACTGATAACATAAATGTTCTGAATATTCTGAGGAATTTAATGAAATTCTTTCACCACTCAAACAAATATTGTACATATTTTGCTGCATTATTTTATGAAGTAAATAGAGAAAAACAAATGGAGAGAAATAAATAAAAAAGAAACAAGTCTTCGATTTTTTTTAAATAAGTTTAATTTTGATCAGTACTTCTGAACATAAAATCCTGATCTAAACGGCTTTAAACCCCAAGTGAAGAAAAATAAACACGTTAGTACGAATGTAAGATAGATAAGGGTGAATTTCATGTAAAATGTTGTAAACTTTGAAACGACCCACTATACTACATTATTCTGCCAAACTCTGCCACATACACACGATTTGCAGTATTGTTCACAATTTAAAAAAAATACTTTATTCGATAGCACTTACGTTGCAATTGGCACAGTTTGGAAGAATAAAATGACAAACTTTCCATGTAAACGTGTGCACGATACACACGTTGACTCTCAGCTGGACACACTTAATCACACATAATTTTTGTAAGAATCAGTAGCAGGTCAATATAAGACTGCCCTGTAGCATACACACTGAATGTACAGAAAATGCATTGAAACTAGTATCTATCACACACTCAATATGCAATCTCAAATATTTATCTGCAAACTCCGAAGTTTCATGTGCAGTTGGTGCTTGGCATATATGCGCTCTCTTCAAATACTTTTGAATTGAGATTACAATATATTCATGGTGAATATAAATCGAAGTTATGAATATAATAATAATACAAGGATTAGATGGTAGATATTTTACAAGTAAAACACCAATAATTAATAACAATACATTGAACAATGTAATTTCAATTAAGATATATGGCGATTAAATTTATTGATTTCGATCGGTAATTCCAATAAAATCTACAAAAAAGAATCTTTTATTCGCATGTGTATGTATGCAGCATCAGCTTTTTTCACTCAAAGAAAACAAAAAGCAAACACACCTCAAATTCGTCGGTAATATGTCGATTCTATTAAGTGGAAGCAATAAAATCACTATACTTCCTGCACTTTCTCTGAATTTAAACACTTTGATCGGCTTTTGATCTAACTTAAATATTCACTAGTCTGATAAGCGATAACATTTAGTTGAATTAGACAAATTATTTATTTACAAATTGGAATGAAATTGAAATAAAAAAATATATGAAATGTCGTAGTTGATTTAAGAAAATGTTTTTTTTTTTTTTTTTTTTTTTGAGAAAATACTGATTTTAGATATGAAATTAATATGTAACATAAAAATTGAGAAATTCGTCTTTTTGTTTAAAGTTTCCGTGTGAGTTGGGATCGTAATCGCCTCTCACGGCTCTAGAGAAAGAAAAGTTGGGGCAAATCTATATCTATTATCTAGCAAAAAATTACTAAAATGACATTTTAAATTCGAAATCAATATAAGTAAACATATAGGAGAAGTATATGTGTGAAAATAGGGAAATTCTTTTCAACAATCAAATTATTATGTAAAACAAAAGCAAAAACTGAACACACAAAAAAAGTCTCTAGAATTTATTATTTCCTAGCATAAATCATGTTTGTCGATACAATTGACTACAAAACTTAGACAATTTAAAATTGAAATGGCATAATACACAATCTATTCAATACACAAGAACAACAAAATTGATTCTATATATATAAACTCACAAATCCAATTAAAATTATGTAAATTAAAATGTTCGTGCTGTTAGAAACTTAAAAAAAAGCATATACTTCAAAAAAAAACTATTTCTTGAATTAGACTAAAAAAAGATAGCTAAACTATTATAAATGTTTCAAAATTTTACGAAAAAAAAAACTTTTAATGAAGCCAGAAAGAAAGACAGAAAACGCCTGTTCAATTCAAACACCCTCATACACAAACAAAACAGAAAAACTCTTTTCATAGATACTATAATCCAATTTATTATACCATATAGAAAGAGTATGTATGCAAAATAAATGGTGCAACAAATAATGTTCGGTCATGCAAATACATGCACGCGATGTGTATGGTTCGAAAAATATGTTGGTGAGTCAAGACAAATACTGCCAACAAGTCAAAACCAAAACTTCTCCACCACACTAAAATGCACAATGTATTGTCAAATTCCACAATAAAATATTTCGAAGAGCATATTTTCAGTTTCGATACAAATGGAATCCAATTTACTCCATACAAATTACAAATATGGAATTCCTTGCAAAATTCAATGCGCGCCAATTGCCAATTTTAATTCCATCGCATACTCACGCCGGCCCACCTCCACTCACTTTTCGAACTCAATGAGTTTGTTTGCAATATTTGCATTGTTTACATACATTTGCATCGCAGCCCCACACAATCAATCTTCAAACTATATATATATATATATAGAATTATAGATATATATCGACAATTGTATTCGGCATTTCAAAACCAAATCAGAGGAAAAAATTAAACACACATAGAATTTATAAATAAATATTATCCAAAAATTCATTAAAATAAATACTGAAACGATAACAAAATGTAAAACTGTGTTTTATTTAATATTATTACATATGTTTTATTGCCGCTTGTGAAATTCTGTATATTTTCAGCTTGAATGAGCATAGTCACGTCATGGCACCGCATCGTTTATAATACTATAAACTGAAGTGGGGTAGGTACTTTTTTTTCGACTCTACCTATTTTGCATTTCAAATATCGAGCCAGTGTAGTAATCGAGATGTGCGCAATATATACAAACCATGCAAATCCTCGTCCTTATAAAATGCAATCCACTCAATTTCCTTAATATTGGCAAAACGTGATTGAATGCCATTCTGAATTTATATAAATGCGACTGCACCCTCAATGACTACTAGTACTACTTCACCACTGAGCCAATATATTTTATTATGATTCCATTTTTTGTGGATACACATTTTTGTTTTTGCATTCGATGTATCGCATTTGCATCGATGTTTCACGATACATATTCCAATATAGTCAATGTTTTACATCAAAATGAATTCTGGAGAGAAAAAAACTCGCTGAAGCGAATATTTTAATAAATCATTTGCATTTTTATGAATCAACGGAATTTCTGTCAGGTTTTTGTTCACTGTTACAATCGGGTTTGCTGAACATTTCACAACTATGTGACCAATATCATTGCATACTCTTTTTTTTCCGGCGTGAACATCAATTTTATAATGTGCTTATACCATTAAATTGCTTCGGTTTCGAATAAAATGAACGCATCGCCTCCCACCGTCAACAACCATAGGTGATGACGAGGGTTCCTAGGGGTCAGATGACCCCCCTAAAATATTTTTAGGAACCCTCAACAATTGTGGAAATGAGGACCTTTTTTTGCCCTTCAATTTTTTTGGCCGAGAAATTCTTCCGATTTGCTAGGGATTTTCACCTCAAAAAGTGACTTCCAAAAAAAAAAAACGATTTTCTTGTCATTTTTGGATTCGCAAGGCAATTTGAAGTAGGAAAATTCTTTCGATTTGCTAGGGATTTTCGCCAAAAAAGTGAAGAGCAAAAAAAAATCGATTTTATCCTCATTTCGTACAAATTGGTGATATCGTCAGGGACCCCCCATGGATTTTTCCAGGGACCCCCAGTCATTGTTAATATATTAATACATTTGATTTTTAACGCCTGCGTCATTTGTGGTGCTGGTTGGATATTCGGTTCGGTTCTGCTCTGATTTTTAGCCATTGCTTGCACTTTTTCGGAATGACAGCTTTTTCGCCCATAATTTCGCTTAATATTCAACAATAAACCATAAAGCCACATAGTTATCATAGTGGTGAGTGTTTTTTTTTATGCCGGCAGCGTAAACTGATGTGATCAAAATGTCACGACACATTCAATGCAATACTCTTTTTTATATGTATTTTCGCGTTCGCGAAACGATGTCAAAATAATAATAATCGTAATAATCGTGGTCTGGCGTCGATGTTTTTTGTTGTTGTTGTATATCGAGCCATATACATAATAACCGAAAATGATAAACGAGATTCGTGCAGTGTAAATGTATCAATCATTAATAACACTTTATTTCAAATTCAACCATGAATGGATGGAAACTTTTTATTTCGATGCAATATGACTTTTTTGCATTTCAACGCGCATTTGACACTCCGCAACAAAGAACAGAATATCATTTATTTTAAGTTGAGAGTGGAAAAAATAACCATTCTAATGGAATGGCAAATTGGATTTTTTCCGCTGCCATTTTTTTTCGGAGAATATTGCAATCAAAATGGCAATTCATTTTTTTACGTGAAATAAATGAAAGGTTAATATATTTGTAGTGTTCAGTAATTGAGGTTCATCGGTCAAATATAGACGTAAACATATTTATTAATAACTAAGTGGTTTTCTCGTTCTTAACTGAACATTTATCGAAACATTGAACATGGAACACTTTTATATTGAACGTACTTGTGTTGATTTGACATAGTTTTTCTTTCTGCATTGGTCGCCACACACACATATTTTACACACCAGGAATCTGATATACATTTAACACATTCTCTCTGATTAGCATTCCACAATAATGCGAACATTGTACAATGTTTATGGAAAATGAAATGAAAACATCGGAACCGAGAAATTAAAGCAAATAAGTGGGTTTTTTTTCGACTGGTTCAATTTATCTATCTACATAATGTTCGATGTGTGCCACTCCTTTAATGCAAACACCCCGAGAACTAGTTAACATGTTTCAAAAGATTAGCACTATTCTGACAATCGCTCTGTGAACTCTCGCAAGCATTTTGCAACTCACACAAACACATACCTACGTCGACTGAGTAAGCACTTTCACCGCTTGCATGCGTGCTTTTAAGCAATAATAATATATTTAATGATAATTCATTTCAATCCGATTCGATCGGATCGTCCCGATGCAAATACGGCATAATTTATGATAACTGCTTCGACCATATGTTGTCGGTATGTCAAGCACACACACACACACTATATGCTTTTCCATCGGTCTTTCCATTCACCGCTCACAATTTTCTATAAATACACATTTATGCGTTTGATGATGAGACCAATGTCGGAATATGATGGCGTTTTATTTTTAACCAAAAGTATGTTTTAGCGTAGATGGCGCTGATTTAAATGGACATTTGTATGTATAGACGGTGGCGCCGCCCTACTCAATTAAACACTGAACTACAGCGTTTCCAATCGTTGGATGGGACACCGAGAAAAAGTGTAAAGTAAAAAAGTCAACGTGCATTTGCTCTGCACTCGTCCGGAATGGAGTTTTAATCCGTTGTTAACAGCATGCGATTAAAAGTTTTTCGAAACTTTTGCAATGCAAAATTACCGTTCAGCATGCTCGGTTTTTTGGAATTCATCCGATTTATTCAATGTGATTCCATCAAAATGATAAATCCATGGGTTTAGAAAATTGGTGCGCTGCTAAAAACGTGTATGTTTTGCAAGTCAGTATGGTGCAGGTGGTTATGAAAATGAAAATTGACAAAGTTCGAAACCTGATTTTCGTTACGAAAAAAAAAACGCACACATAGCACCTTAATTCACATTATAAATTAGTGGTAAATCACTGAGAATGCTGCATAGATGGAACTGATTTATATGTGTATTGATGTTAATAAACATTTTATATATGTGAAAATCGTTGGGTTTTCCAGTTGCACGAAGAGTGAATATGAGTTCGATGAAGAATGAAATTGGATGTGGTTGATTTTCGATTGTTGGAAAATTAGCCAGTTTATCTTCGATGCAATGTTTTCGCTTTTTTGGTATGCATTTTGAAGTTTCTGTAAAATAATTTTAGGTCAATAATCGAATTTAATGCACAAAAGCTCAAACAACGCTGAGATGGCTAAAGCAATTTTTTAATTGCATACTTAATTTGTTGGAATAGGTTTTGGTCAACCATGCCACACGATAGTCAGCTCATATGCATTTGTGGTGTAATTTGTTTTTAATCGAAATACAGTGAAAAATTCCCCATTACAATTTCGAAATGAGCTGGCGTTACGAATTATTGATGATTTTACAAACAAAGTCAATGTAGCCGCACCCGAACACACACACAACACAACACTTTTAGACGTGCAACTCATGCATTGAAGTAATTTTTCAAACCATTATAATTGAAATTGGTGCTTGTTTGCTGCGTTCTCGATAGTCGAGTGTATATGTG